ATGTTAGTTTCAAGGAAATCAAGGAACCATGTCAGTTCCACAATGCAGTACAGATATAGGCCACACAGGTTGTATTAGATGAAATAAAGGAACAAACTGCATATTATTTCCTATTCATTGGAACTTGACTTTTTGTGACAGCACAACCTTAGTAGCACATTTTGTGCTAATCCATCTAGTGTGGAGATATTTTTCTGGCTAATTGAGAACTTTGACCTGCTGGTGCTGCTGATTGACAAGTTAAGGGATTACTGAAGTCTTCATGATTCATCTTTTGAGGATCTTGAACACTGTATCAAACTCAATGACGATCCATAAAACAGTGTGATTTCATTCTGGGCCAAAGTGGTCGACCAACTGACAGACCCACTGCCCCACCAGACTGACACTGTCGACCCTAGAGCCCTGCTTCTAGCATTGCTCCAAAACTGATACGCATCCTGAGCTTTTATTCCTTCACCCGTTGTTTCTTTTACTTCTTTACCCTGCAAACCACTGGTATGATCCCGTTCTCTCCCTATTTTCAGATGCTCACCTCCTCCATCCCTCCCTATCCATCGCGGCAGTGGGGGAAATCCCTTGAAGATGGCGCTCCATCAGTAATGATTTTCTGCTCAGCTGAGCAATGAAAGGTACACATGCACTCCCTTTGGCTTGCTCTCCCCAACTCATTCTCTCTCTCTGTAAACTCCATCATCCATCCCTCAATGCATCTCATTAAAGTTTTAAAGCCAAGGTAAGCCGGCACATCAGTGAATCCCTCCATCCGCCCACTCTAACCCTGACAAACTCCACCCCATCCCTTCCTCATTTGCTCGCTGTTTCTCACTCTGGGGCTGTATGAAATTAAGGACAAGACAGCTCGGCATGTCTTTATTTAGAAAATAATAAGCGAACAGGAGAGAGAGAGTAACAAACTATGGGAAGATCAGGAGGGGGAAAGAATTGGTGAGAGGTAGCTGCAACGTCTCTGGAGGCTCATGAAGAGCTCCAGGTCTCAGCGAAACTGGAGGGCAGGTTGATGTAGGCGCAGGCCGCAGCTGGTATGTTTAATCTGGTGTGGAGGTTTCTCGAGCACTGGGACTATTCTCAATCAAATTGTTATTCTTTACCAAACCTAGCAGGAGGACTCTGAGCGGCAGCTGTTTACTATGCTGGAATTAGTAATGTCCCCCCCCAGAGGCCCACAGAGCTGCCTCCACCAAGGCTGTGAGTTTAAAGCGAGTTTATGTAACTTTTTCTGAACAGTGGCCACAATTGACAAATATGATGGTCATTTCTATAATATAGTGTACTGAAACAGCGACGCAAGTAGGGAAGACACATACAGTTACACGATAATGTCAGTTTTACAATATCTGTCTATTTAAAGTTTGCAAATATTAGCCACCACAAGCTACAAGAAAGCTTGTATCAGTAAACCCCATAAAGAAAGGTGTTTGATTGCTCAGGAATAATAATGTTATACAGAGTTCGGTCTAGACCTGCTCTATTTGAAAAGTGTCCTGAGATAATTTCTGTTATGAATTGGCGCTATACAAATAAAATTTAATTGAATTGAATGAATTCAACTTCTTTAAGGAAGAATATTATTTTCTCATTCAAAAGTTACGTATTATAGTTTCTTGAATTTACTGTAAAACCCACATTAAGTTTTATGAGGGAATAGCAAAAACAAACGATTGGATTTGTGGAAATTAATAGAAATTAATAGAAATACAACATTAATGTAGACATATTGTTTATCCTATCTGATGCATCAGTTTTTGTTTTTTTTCCTATTTTTGTTCTTTCCATGTGTAAATAAAGGCTGAATACGTTTAAATATTCTCTTTTAAAGCTTCTGTGTTCATGTAACATTTATGCTCAAGCTTATCAAACTCAACTGAACCATGGGAGGAAGTTTCATATATAATGCATATTTACAGTAATACGTGACTAAATTTCAGATGATTCATTACTGACCAGCAAATTAAATTCATTCATACAAACCACTAAAGGTTGACTTTACTGGGCCATTAACAGGAAAGATCAGTCACAACTTCCCCCTGTGAGCCACAATATCCATTTTTGGGAGGCAGAGGGTATTAAGGAATAGTCCAGTCAATATTATCCAGCAGGCTTTTAGAAACTTGTTCTCCGAATGGAATGTTGGTAAGGGATATCAATATTAATGGCATAATACTGAGACCTCATTATGCTGAAGGTCATGGTGGGATGTGGATTTAGAGTGGAGGAAGACAAACGAAACTCTTCAACATTTCTGGCAGAGAAAAAACATTCGGCTAGCTGTAGGACACCTCCTGAAGGCAACCTGTCATTCTCACTTACATGCGTTAAAAAAAAAGTTACCCACCTCTTTCAAATTTTTTGTTGAAAAGTGTTAAGTCCTCCCTGTGACTTTAAGTGTGTGCAAAGTGAATTCAGTCATTAAAATGCAAAAAAATGTGCAGGAAAGTAATGATTTATGGCACCAAAGGGACTTTTCACACTGCAGACAGTGACTGTATCTGGGTAGGTAGTGTAATGCATGGAAGATGAGACGCTCACATGCATTTTCTGGATATCACTTAACAAGAAATCTCTTTAAACCCAGTGAGTCATGATTGTGTTTGTGATGTCTTTCTCATTTTAACTTTTGTCTTTGATTTTGTGTTCACGCTCTCCATCTGTCTCTCCATCTCCAAGTATTAAAACATGCTACAATGCTACAAAGACTAAAGTAAAGAATAATGTGAGAAATACCTTCATGTGACACTTCAGTTACAAAAACTGAATTCAGTCTTTTCTTTAAAATCCACTGACAAGCACACAAACACACAATCACTACTAAATAAGGCCTTATTCGCCATAATAGGGAAAGCACATTACCAATGGCTTTGTTCTGTTTCCCAGTAAGCCATGACAGTGCGACAGTGAGTCAGCATGCTCAATACCAGGACTTTGAAATGAAAATAGCTTTATGGAATTGGTGGAATGGTGTTTTCACTATTTTAACATGTCGAGGAATTTCTGTTAAAAAAGGTCTATAGAACAGGGCAGCAGGAAACAAATAGGTCTGCTTGCTCGTGTTGTTTGACTCATTGCCACAATGAGGGAATACTGCCATGTCTCCAGGAAAGTACTAAACTACTACACTTTCTTTCAAGTCTTATACAATCATTTGTGTTGTAAAGACCACTCAGGGCTAGCTGGCAAACTACTGTAGTTGACAAGCTAACCACCAGCCAGCTGGGAACATGCTAGCGCTAGTCAGTTGCAAAATCTCTCCAAGCTAGCTGTGTTTCTGTCAGTTATCATTGGCTAACTGTCAGTTCACAGTCCAAGAGACATATTTGAATAAATGAATTGTGTTTAATAGCGGTGTGACCGGGCCTTACTGTGTGTTCAAAACCAAAGAGTTTCTGGTGAGTTCAGTCAGAGGTGAACACACACAGTTTGTGTATCCGTTGCTAGCTATCTTACAGCTAACGTACAGTTTAGGCTGTTTAGGGCAAATACACACATATATGTGTATTTATATAGATGTATTTAACACAAATGGTCCAGGGGTAAAATTTGTTTGAGTGCTGCAAGGTTAAAGGTTATTTCACCTTCTGTGTGTAAACACAGAATTTCCAGGGAGTGTGGGTATTTTTTATTATTATTTTTTTTTTCCACCCATCACCTGCCAATGGGTATAATTTATATTTTTTTCAAATTATAGTTTTGGTTATACAGTTTCCAGTTTTGGTATTGATACCAGGGACATTTTTGTTCAATACCAAAGTAGAATATTAACATGTTTTCCCAAATTCTTAATGTATCAGTATTTATTCTTAAAATGAATCTTATTAATCTCATTCAATGCAAATTTTTCATACTTGCTGCTACTGACAAATTCTCAAAAGAAAAAAAAAAACACTGATGGTGGCCTAATTTACTCTGCTCTCAGTCCTGTCAGAAATAACAGCCCCTGCATACAGGCTGCTGCAGTACATGTGTACATAAACCATGAATCACATACAGTATCTATGTGTGTGTTTTGTGTTGACAGGGGATCAGAGGTGATGCAATCACCTTTGCCAGGGTATGCAAGCGCCACACGCTCACTATGCCCCACACACAGCTGACTGGCTGATGTAACCGGTGCCCCAGTGGTTTATCTTGAAGCTCCACCAGTCCAGTCCTCTGAATGATGCCTCATGCTGCATTTACATCAGGCCAATGTATCAGCCAAGCCTCCCGAATGAACACATTTTGCCTGAATATCTTTCACCTATTTTACTGGAGCAACCTCTGCAGGGATCATCATCAATGCATTGCTGTGGAAAATGTCGGTTTACATTTCTCATCATAGCTGAATACTGAGCGGGGTCAGAGCTCAGAGGAATGTTTGCTCTCTGCACAAGGCACATCACTGTGTCCTCAGAGTGTCTGAGTACTGATCCAACCTGCCGCTAACAGGCTTTACAAATGAATGACAGACACAATCTCCTGCATGATCACAGGGAAAATGTGTGTTCCTTTGCAGGATTATTACAAAGAAATAAAGCAAATCCACTTAACCTTAAAATGATTACAACCTTTTATTTAGATCCTAAAATTAATTCTAATAACCTTCCTCAACATTCCTCTGTTTTGGTGCAGATATATTCAAAAATAATAGGTAAGTCACAGCAAGATTTAATGGCTCATGAGCTGTAAAGTTATCAAAATTCTTTCAAAGTAGAACATTTCTTTTACACTTTCCTACCTTCTGAGAAAGACCATAACCATACAGCTCCTATGTATGAATTCAAAGTTTCTCCTCCTGCTGTTTAAAGCCTGTTTGGGCTCATTAATGGAAAACAAAGTTTAAATGTTACCAACAGTTAAAGCCCAGCTACCGTATTACCTCAGCATGAATTTAGGACATATTCTGAATGTACCATCTGGACGTCTCGATGTTTCAGACTTTTAATGTGTAACAGTAAGAAACTGGCAGAGAGAGGGAGAGCAAAGCATGAGGCAAACATTACCATCGGAGGGCGATCTTGATGGGTGTGGTGAGGCAGGAGGTGAAGAGGTCAGCTGGGAGGTCGGGGTTCATGGGCAGCAGCTCACTGGCCTCGCAGGCGGCCAGCTGGATGCAGTTCTTCATGGAGGGAGGCAGCGGCATCTGAGCGAGTGGGTGGCTGGGGTTGATAGCTGCCACCTGAACAGACAGAAGATGACAGTATATTCTTTAAATATGTTTTACAATGCATCTGGGATTTTATCATCATCATTCGTATATGCTGTCATTTTCTTTTTTGGTCTATCCTGTACACACAGCATTTACTGCATGTCTGTCTCTACTGAGGTTTCTTGGATTGAGGGTCAAAGGCTACATCCACACGACTACATTTTAGCTTTAAAATGCATACTTTTTCCTACGCATCCACACAACTCTGGCGTTTTAAGCCCCTAAAATGGAGACTTTTGGAAACACTGACCAGAGGTGTAATAAGATATCAAATATTGTATCACGATATTTTGTTCTGTATGCTGTACATATTGTAAAGCCCTCTTTGTGATATTGGGCTATATAAATGAAATTGACTTGATTTCAGTGTTTGTCACAAGTACAGCCATACCCAGAAATAAAAGAACCCGTAAAAGAACAATAAGGTTTCAAATATCGGTAGATATTTTAAAGCACAGAAAGCAATGTCAGTATGAATCTTGGTTTCAGACCCAAAATATTGAATTATTGAGCTGCTCCACAACCTGACCCACAGTATTGTCTGGGGAAATGAATGACAGAAAGAGGAGAGGAGCTGGGTGACAGACAACCTGACTTTAAAGAGGTGAAATTTATTTGTGGCCAGCTGTCTGTCAGAGGACAGAGCAGACACAGACGTGGAGGGACAGCCCCATTTGTTCACACACATTCATCGAGAAATAGCTCTAATCAAAGCCGCTGCCATTTCAAAGTGTTTCACTTTCACACTGAACTGAGATGAGCATTGCCACGAAGCCACAGTCCTGCTATTGTGGCGGCGCTAGAAGGATTAGAGTCACAGCAACAGCAGCAAGGTGAGAGGGCGATGGAAGCAGACAGGATGAGGAACTTGAGCTGAAGACCAGATAAGACATGAAAAGAAAGGTCAGAGACAGACTAAAGAGGAGCTGCCTGCAGATACAGAGAGATATGTAGTGATGAAAGGAGGCACAGGGAATAAAGATAACTTTAGAAAAGGAGCAGCTCTCTTTGGTATCTTGACACTCGACACACAAAGTAAAATCAAGTTAGAAACCGAATCTGAAGTCCAAGAGTGAGTTGGTGCAACTGTCCAGCAAATGAAACAGGTGAATGCATTAGCACCCTGTTACCACCTACACGAGCCTGTTGTCATTATTGTTGCAAGCTGTTTGTGCTCGTCAGTATTGGCACCATCACATCGCTCCGAGAAAACTTTCCCACATAGGCAAACCTACTGTTTGTTTAATCACATGTCAGCTTTTTGCAATAGACTTCACTAAGGCCAGAAATGAATGTCTTCAAGACCGAGCTCATTCTCATTTAAAAGTATTGTGTTTACTGCTGGCTAAACTATCGTAGAGAGAACATGCTGTATTGTGTGTACATCATTCAATATTATAACATGGAGGTTTGCGAAAACACCCCAAAATAATCTCACTAAAAACTGAAATAAACAAACAATTCTAACTGTTTTCTTCTGTTATGGACAGCATGGGATGAGCAATAAAAATCATATTTTTGTTTTGTTTTCCCTTTGTTGCATGAGAACGGAAACAATTATGATTGCAGAAGACACAAATCAGTGCTTTTTGCAGGTTTGCCACCTTGTGCTTCCAGGCAAAACATAACAATTGATGCACTGCCTGAGACATTTTGAGAACGTAATGATAATGTGATAGGTTATCGATCCCAGTGAGGAAATTTTCCCCTTGCTTTCCCCCTAAGCGGGCGGTCTTCAGTGGTAAACAATCCTCTTGTCTATTGTAAAAACAGAATTAGCATGTTATTTCCACACTCTGGGGCGGCTCAGTCAATACCGGCAAACGTGAAAAATGTAGGAGGCTTGCATATGATGTAAAACTTTAATTATATGTGGAGCCCTTGACTATTTATGTGCTCATTGTGCTGTTGTACTGTTGATTTGTTTGCTGGGTGTTCAATATGGTTTCTGTCTTTTGCTGAGTAGACTTTAATGAGCTGTGGGTCTTAATGAAGGCAGAAATCCAAGACTTCCCTTTATCATCGCTGACTGCTATGGGTTGCTGCCTTCATTTTGGAGCTCTGCCTTATTTTAGTAACAAATCAGGGATGGAGATTATTATTATTATTATTGCCTCTTTTATGCAAAACAAATGTCTCTCGTATTCCAAGAAACTGTATCATGCCACTCAACTGTTGTTTTTTTACTGACAGCAGCTTTTGAGTTTGATTCCATAACAGCGTCAACAGCTCTCCACCTGATAGCCCATGATCAGGAAAGCCAGTTATTGTTGGCGTCAGGGGCTGTGGAGAATGTCTGTTGATGACATGTCCGATTATAGTGAAGACTCTTCCAGTGACTACACAATTTAACATCACAATTTCACAGGTCTGGAAATAAATAAAAAAAAATCAAACCTAACCCTGCTGGAATTTAGAAATTAGAGCCAGCTGAAACTAGGTTAAGAATCAAAGACTTTTGGAGTTAACGTTTGACATTTAATTGGCCAGTTGCATTGGCTCCCACATTTCCTCTGTTAGGCCTAGCTTTTGAGAATAAAAATTTGAATGCCCCCATCTCGCCTAAATAGCTGAGAACTGAATACAAAGCTGAAACTTCAGTATGAAACATTTTACTGAAAAAAAGGTAAAGCAATGAGTGACTTTCAATACATACATAATGCTTTTTCTGAGGTTTTGTTCACATTTTTGTAAGGAATCCCTCTGTAGGCGCAGTGAATGTCAAAATTTCACTGTAGTGATGTCCAGAGCCGATCCAAGTGATCCGCATCAGGGTCGATAAGGACATATATTAATGGATCTCTATTGGCTAAAATAAAGTAGATCAAATGCTGAACCTCTCTTTACTCTGCTGTGTTTTGTTCACCTCAGTCTGCTAATGTTGCAGCACTACTCTCCTTAATGACAGGTTTAATCTACACTGTGAGTATATCACTGCATATCCCAGTGAAAATCAAGAGTGTGTGAATGTGAACCATTAGTTGGGTGCAGCGGTGCGACTGACTCAGAGTTCAGACATGGAGGCTGACAAATTACACGTTTTCCCCAAGTTTCAGCACTAAGAAATCTGTTATTGAATCATTTATTTCTCCTCTCCCTTTCGAAGAGCAGGGTACAAAAACACTCAGGTAGCAGCAGTTTTAGCCGGCGCTTTCGCTTTCACGGATTAAAATTACAAACTCATATCTGTTGTCACTAATCAATGATAATTCAATGAATAACCAGATGAAGGGATAAAACGGAAGCTGTTGTGGATTTGTGTGTCTGTACTCGGAACAAGCTGTAACACTGACATACAAAAAAGTTCTGTATTTTCAACAACTCCAACACAGTGATACATTTTCTCTCTAGTGGATATCTTCACATCAATTTAAGGCAGGGCATTCTTTTATTCATATCATATCAATATTATTTAAGCTTTATAACTGAATCAGGACCTTCAGTGTTTGGACTGGTGAAAACACCTGTTATTTCAATAGTGTCTGATACATATTTAATCAAAAGTTGCCATTGTTTTGTGCTGTTGTGTTGTACTTCATCTCCCTCTCTCTGCGTAATGATGTGTATAGAGTGTGTATATATTTTCCCTGTGATGTACAGTCCTGTGAAAAAGAATTTACCCCTGCGGACAATAAAGTCTAACTATCTATATCTAATTAAGTCAATATACTGCAACTATCTGATCAGACTCGGCATGATCTAAATTCCTAATATTAAAGTACTCGGCTCAGGATCAGAGCCAAAAAAATGCATTAAAAAAACCTAGAGGGAGACATCCCTACTGTCAGGACTACATACATTTTATTACAACAGTCACCTTACCTGAATAACGTCTAAGAAATTATTACTTTTAATTAATAAACACTTTTATTGATGAAAGCACTTGCAAGTGAGCATTAACACTATTCCATTAGCTTCAGGAAGAAACAGCAGAGGTGCTATATCACAAGGCGAAGGCCACATATTTGATGAGGCAATTATTAATGTTAGTAAAGTTATTACATTGATCCCAGGACGAACCACATCACGACGTGTCAAATTTAGCTTGTCAGGTGACAGTTATTTATTGAGTGATCACATCATACGTTTGCTTCATGGCTTTATTAGTCAGTATATCAGTGTCAGGAACAGAAGAAAGAAGTTTCTTCTGAGTGGGAAGTGTGGGGAAAAACTAGGCACTCGAGCAGAGCTGCTGGTCAAACACTGGGCTGTTGGATAATCACTAGCTGGTCACGTTTTACCCAGTAGAATCTGCAACCAGCCTCGCTGTTTTTCTACCAGGCACGTTTGGAGCAGTCAGAGTTGGTTTATCATTTGCTTTTACTTCACTTCCCCTTTCTCCATGCACTGCTAGCAGTGACTACCAATGCATCTATCTTCAGCCTTCTCTGTCCCACAGTTTGGCAACCACTGCATCAGAAGAGCTGGACTCAATATGTGAGCGACAATTTGGGGTATTTTGAGTCCGCTTTGGTCCAAATCCTTGTTACAATTCTTGGCGTGTTATTTGAGCTGGAAAATGTACAAGTTTTCAATACCTTCCAACAGTTGCAATGTGCCAATTTCAGTTTGATCTGAAAGATTTGTGTGGGATGAATAAAGAGGCTGATCATATATTGCACACCTGGCCTTGCTCACTGTAAATAAGCACGTTGGTATAAATGGCAAACGGTTACTGTAAGACCTCTTGAAGAGCTGCAGACACTCTGAACAGCTGTTTACTGCGGCGGAAAATGTTGCTTCAAGTGCTAAAACTCTTTCTGTGTTTGCAAACACTGTTGGGGCTACAGGCACGAAGGCTGAGGAGGAGGATGAGGAGGAGGAAGAGAGTGTGAGAAATCTTCAAACTGTCTGGCACATTAAAACTCTGTCATATAGGCATGGATTGGCATAGAGTTTAAGAACATACACAGACAAGCACATGAGGCCTTTCATAACATGAGATTTACCCCACTCCCGGTTCATAGAGC